TTGACACAATTGTATCTATATGTACATTTGGCAATGCATCTGTAGTGGATTCCTTCATGGAGCATTTCTCATCTTATTACTTCTTGATGGAACCAATTTCAAGACTAATTTTGGTGGGGACATAATACATACCCCACTTTCAATATTTTCAGTCATATATCCAGAAATCAGATTGTAGGTACTGTTTTCGTTTGTTTGTTTGTTTGTTTGTTTGTTTGGCTAGTTTTTTCTTTTGTTTGTTTTTTGAGATATGTTTCTCTCTGTGTATCCCTGACTTAAATAGAGTTAAATGAGTGTATTACTATTGCCCAGCTGCATGTTTTTAAACTATTTTCTTTCTTTCTCTGTCTCTGAGTGCTTACCACATTATTCCATTGTGATGAAACTGCTTTACATTTACTCACCACAGTGAATAATGACATCAATTTTTTTCACATTCTCACCCACACTCAACATTTAAATCTTACTGGGGAAACTGCTTTCTTAGTGTGTTCACCATGTGGGTAGAAGGTGATGTCGCATTGGTTGTAATTCCCCAACCCCTCCCATGTCTTCTTCTAAACATTGTTCTTGATCTTCCAGTCACGTTTTGAATTGCGCAGTGCCTTATGATTTTTCTAGACAACCAGACACAATGCTCCAGGTAAAAGAAGTGCAGAGTTAGACCTTTATTTTGCTGGTTAGGTGCAGGGTCAGAGAAGTGTGATAATGTCTCTCAGGCTGTTTGTGTCCTTGTGCTCTGACCTTAAATTCCCCATTGTATCTTCAGTTTTTCCCTTCCATGTGGAGGGAGTGGTTACTTACAGCAGCTGCAGTTGGGCATTTCCCTTCAACACAGAAGGCTAGAGTCAACTAAAAGTGATTTTTCCTTCTCTGTGAGGAAAGGTGAGCTGAATAGAGAATGTATTTCCTATCCCCTGGTGAGTTGGGCTGTAATAAATTTACTCTTATATTTGTTCTTTCTTTTTTTTCTTTTTCTTTTTTTTAAAAATATTTATTTATTTATTTATTTATTTATTTATTTATTATGTATACTGTGTTCTGCCTGCAGGCCAGAAGGGGGCACCAGACCTCATTACAGATGGTTGTGAGCCATGATGTGATTGATGGGTATTGAACTCAGGACCTTTGAAAGAGCAGGCAGTTCTCTTAACCGCTGAGCCATCTCTCCAGCCCCTTATATTTGTTCTTAAGGTTTGTTGTTGTTATTATTGTTATTTTAGGACCTCTTCTGTTAAAAGCAGAGTGATCAGCCATAAATTTTAAAAATGGTTTTCTTCTTCCGCGTACGCATAAAGGCTTAGCAGAGTCATAAGTGGATGATGCAACCAGGCATGTGTGTGGGTCAAGTGGGCCCTTTAACATGTCTGGGACCAATAGGCAGTTCTTCCTGATGGCTTGTCGGCACATGCATGGCCCTAGAACCCGGAAGTGTCAGCCTTATTGTGGCTGAAATCATAACATGCTCACTACTCTATTTTTATATATCAAATAAAGAGTAGGCAGATTTCTTCCAAATCTGTAAGCAAGACAGAAAATATAACCCAAGGAATCAGACAGAACTGGCTCCTGGGACCACACAACCTCTCACATATGCTGTGGCATGGATGTGCCCCCTTCAGTTGTAAGTAAACTAGTTTCCACTGGCTGATAGGTAACTCTTCCATGTTTCCAGTAGGTGAATATGGCTAGGGGATATAATTATTTATTATTCAGTAAAATACATTTTTCAAGGAAGAAAGCTGGGTTTTTTTCCCATCACTGCTTTCCTATAGCTCCTGAGAGTCAGGGCAACCAAACTGCAGTTACTTCCGAAATCATTACAGTGATAGTAAAGGCCCTTCAAGGAATACTCCTGGTCAAGTATACAATCTCTGACCTACCTGGCGGCCTACAATTCCAACAATTGCTATGTCACACAAAGCTCTCTGTCTTCCTTCTTTTTTGCGGGGGTGGGGTAGGGGAGCAGACTTCAAGAGTAGTTCCAGCATCACAGGAAAACTCAGTGGAAAGTATAGAGACTTTTGCATTTGCTGTTCTTTCCCGGATCCATTTCCCTAAGGTCAACACCCTACAGTGAGTAAGTGAGAAGCACACATGCCCAGTGTAGAAATAAATATTGACTCTGTTATGAACCTGAGCCTGTCTCCTCTTGGCAGTGTGCCTTCTGTGGGTCTGGAATCATGGACACACACTTGTGTTCACCCTTACTTTGTTACACACTGTGGCCTCACTGCCTAACCGACCCTGGGTTTCCAGTGCTATGTCTCCCCAACCCAGACTAGGAGTCTGGCTCTGCCTATGCCTTTCTTGGGCTTCCCAACTCCATGAACTGCTGCAGACCTGGGATAAGAAGAGGACTGTAGATCCTTATCATTGGGCTAGAGTTCACTCTGTCCTCATCCCTGTGCCAGGCTTTACTGTCCTTATCATTGGGTCAGGCTACACTTATGATTTATTATCTCTGGCTCAGAATAGTGGGGTTAGAGGAAGAGGCCTCCAGCTAGGGGAGGGTTGAAAGCCCTTGGGGCTTAGTAAGGTCCCTTGTGTTAACAGTTTCACTGCAAGATAGAGCTCTGAAGAGAAACGAAACACAAAGTTAATCAGTAAATTAGAAGTCAGGCTTCAGATGGCACCACCACGATTGCCGTGGTCTCTTGTCCTGTTCCAGCAGGATTTTATAATCAGGACATTGAAAGAGAGGGGGAACTGAGGGCACAGGGATGAGAGTGGAAGGGGAAGGGAAAAAGGGAGAGAAGCAGAAAGAGATAAAGAGAGGGAGAGGGAAAAACAGAATTGAGAGAGAATGGAAGGGGAGAGAGAAAGAAGAGAAGCAGAAGAGGCTATACAGAGTATGACAGGGAAAGGGATCAGGATTTGAAGTTTTTGTGTGGGTTTATGGAAGACAGGGTATGCTACTAGCTAGATTGAAAGCCTTCCATGACTTTGTTTTAAGCTGCCAGGCATTGCCTTCGGTCAAGAGGATGAGGAAGAAATGAATGAGGTCCAACACCAGGAGAATTCATTAGTTAAGAAAGACACTAATGAAAGATTGCCTTCAGCTTGGACAGAAAAAAAAATTGGTGTTGGGTTACATTTAGCTACCTCCTACGCTACAAAACCTCAAGAGATATACTCTTATATTCTTCTTTTGTACCTCAAATTTGTGCTGATGTGTGAGGAAATAATTACTTGTATAACAAGACTTTGTCAAGCTTTTTCTGAGGGACTGCAAACTTCCATTAATGACATGGAGACATTATTAATTATGAGAGTTTAGCCTTTAGCTTAGGCTTGTTCCCAACTAGCTCTTATAACTTATCCCATTTCTATTAGTCTTCATTCTGAAATGTGGCTTTTTACCTCTTGTCCATTCTGTATGTCCAATTCCCTCTGTGTCTCACTGGCATCTCCTCTTTTCTTACTCCCAGAGTTCCAATCTCTCCCCAGAAATCTTGCCTATCCTCTCCTGCCTAGCTATTGGCCATTCAGATTTTTATTAAATCGATCTGGTGTCTTAGGCACGTGAGGTAAAACATAGACATATTTTCACGTAGTATAAACAAATATCCTGCAACATACCTGGACATAAGAAAATCTGGGCGACACTCATCTCCAACTACATTGACAGTTAAGTGCCCCAAATACCTGAATTCAAAGCCCCTCTGACTACATATTTATTATCTCATATTTTATAGTATACATATGTTTATATATAGTATTATATTACTTTATTGATTACATGTTATTGGCATATTTTATATAATTAATATATTAAATTTGTAGTACTTTTTAAAACATTTATTTTAACTGATTTCTTTTTATGCATTGGTGTGAGGGTATCAGATCCCCTGGAACTGGAGTTAAAAAGCTGTGAGCTGGGTTCTGGGAGTTGAACTTGGGTCCTCTCTAAGGGCAGCCAGTGCTGTTAACCATTGAGTCATTTCTCCAGCCCCTAAGTTTGGAGTACTTTTTAACTTAGCCTTTGCTGGCCTGAAGCTCCCTCTGTAGACCAGGCTAGCCTAGGACTCATAGAGATTCATCTATCACAGCCTCCCCAGTTCTGGGGTCAGGGTCATATGCGACTGTACCCATCACCCAAATATTTTATTCTAGTATTTTAAAATTTTTCTGAGATGTTTACAATTTTCCTTGGCATATGTTCTAAATATGAAAACAATGCAAATTTGTTGCTTGGTTTTTGATTTTTTTTTTAGGATGATGATCTTCCTTTGCTATATTTCTGGAGCACCTGCATTATAAATCCAAACTTTTCAAGCCTGTGATTCCAGCTCTGAAACAATCTGACATGCGCTTCTGACCTCTGCAGGCAGCTGTACTCACAGACACAGACCCACAGAAAGGCATACCCACACACATATAATTAAAATTATGATTTTAAAAAAACTCTGTTTCATAAACTGTCTATCCCCATAATTCTTCTTGGCATCAAAGCTATGAATCTTGGTTTGGCCTGAGTCAAAGGTCCCTGAAAATCTAGAGAAATGAGTCTCAGCCTGTAAGTAGTGACCTCTTTTGCAGGAGGGGATTGAATGTCCATATCACAGGGGTCATATATCAGATATCCTGCATAGCAATATTTACATTCTGATTCAGAGCAATAGCAATACTACAGTAGTAATGAAATAAATTTATCATTGGCTGTCACCGCAGTATGATGAGCTGTCTTAATGGAGGACAGCATTAAGAAGATTGAGAACCACTGATCTAGAGGCATTTCTTGGACTGGTGAAGGTGGCAGTGGGATGTGTCTTTCTGTCCCCACACCACCAATCAAACATTTCCATATCAGAAACTGTCATTTGAGACAGCCTGAATGACTCATAATTGCCTCCAGAAAAAAACGATCTCTTATTCCCGGAGAGGAGAGAAATGTGTTCATTGACTGTGGACAGTGTCTCCAGCTCTCTCTATTCTGATTCTTGTCTCCCAGACATTCAGTCTCTGGATCTTTAGCACACAGAATCCTCTGACCTGGCTCTGGTGCCTGCTTCTTAAATGATTTCCTCAAACTTCACAGCTGCAGCAATATGGGGCTCACCACTCCCCTTTGTGTGGGAGCCAAGGCATGAAGCTTGCTGACACCAGACCGAGTGGAACCGCCCAAGCATAAAGGGCATTTCTTCCCTCTCAACGTTTTCAGTTTCTTGTTATAGCTGAAACTCAGCTTGTCAGCTCTGAGATGAGTGCTGCAGAGCCTGCAGAGGCTTTTTTGGGCATGTTCAGTACCACAGACAGACTGCAGGAAGGCGAGATCGGTATGTATTTAATGCATATTCGAATGGACCCACAAGAGCAGAGAGCTGCTTGTCAGGGACGGGAATAGAAGCAGAGGGCAGAGGAGTAGAACCTCAGGACTGTGAGCCTGCCACAGTGGGTTTCTGCAGAACCAGAAAACGCAGACAGGAGTTTAGCAGACAGGAGTTTAGTTAGCTAAGAGGTTTTTACATTAGTTATTCTATTGGAGCATATAATATTTAACACTTAAATAGTTCTCACACAAGAGAAATGAACAGTGAATTGCTATACAAAAGCCTTAGTGAAGGCTTTTCTTTTTTTTTTCTTTTTTTTTCTTTTTGTTGTTGTTCTTTGTTCTTAGCTTGCTAGTCCACTCTTCTCCCAGGGATCTGGTAAATTACACTCTGGTGAATCACACCAAGTCCCTGTGGAAAATGCTTGCTCTTTAAGTACCACAGCAAGGGCAAATTCAAACAACAGCTTTGCACTGTGCACAGTGACAAGAGGTGGCTGGGAAGCTGAAGCTTTTGCTTTGTAGATCCCTTGTGATGGAAAAGGGTGTAATGAGTAGGCTGGAGGCCTGGGGTCCAGGCTTACCCCACCTAGGAACAAATCTTCTGCATTTTAAGCTTCTAGTAAATTATACTAGGGAATATAATGGGTTTTCTACTTTAGTCTTCAGAAAGAAAGCGAAATTGTGTTTCTTGCATTTTAAAAATGTCTATGCTTCAATATATTTCACTCTTTTATCTTTTTTTTTCTTCATCCCTGTCCCTTCACGTTAATTTTTTTCATTTAGGAAAAGATACTGGATTTTGGCAAAACAAGACTGCTATTTACGAAAATTTAAAATTAATGACAAAATATTAACACCAATCACTTAAGCCGAGTATTCTCCTAACTGAAACATTATTATTAGCTATTATTATTATTATTATTAATTATTTTGTTCTTGTTGCTGCTGCTGTTTCTGTCTGTTGCTGATTGACTAATTCTTTGAGACAGTCTCATACTTTATTCCAACTGACTGATAACTCCTGTTTCCTTTGCCCCAGCAAGGTTGACTTTGAAAATAAACACTTACCCAATAGGAACACACCTGATACAAATGTGGAGACTCTGTCCAAAGGGTGAATGTTGTGTAACCGGAGGCATTCCGCAACTTGTAACTTGTCTCTTGTCTCTCATTTGAAACCATAGCTGGTTCTGTGAGTGAAGCAGGCTTTTTGTTTTGTTGTGCTTTGTTTTGTTTTTCAAGACAGGGTTTCTTGTTTGGTCAAAAGCTTCCTAGCTCCCTAACACCCCTTTATTCAAAGACTCTGGAAAATTATAATCGGGGGCCTCATCTCAGCCCCCGGCACCCATTTTGAAATGCTGGGCAGAAACTCCATTTCAAGCTCCATCCCCTGGGAGTTGCCTTAGTCCAAACTCCGCCTCTGAGAAAGCCCTCTACCAAGAATTACCCCTCCCCAGGGCGTGTCATGAAGGCCTGCCAAATGGTAACTCCTCCCCAGGGAAGGTCAAGACCACGCCCTCAGGCTACTTAAACTGCCCCTTAGAGACTGTACATGTGGTCTCCACTTCTCTCTCTCCCTTCGCCAGGCTTTCTTGGTGCCACTCGGGAGCATTGCATTCAACGTGGGCGTTTTTGATTTGCTCTGATTGGACTTATTTGCTTCCGTGGAGAGGCTCATCTAAAAAAGATTCCTAACATTTCCCTGTGTAGCCCTGGCTGTACTGGAACTCACTCTTATAGACCAGGCTGGTCTCAAATGCAGGTATCTGACTACCTGTTTCTGCCTCCTGAGTACTGGGATTAAAGATTCCTGCCACTTTTAAAAAAATAAATTAAAAACCAGATCAGCAATGTTTCATTTCTTTGTTTTTTGAGAGATCATTTCTATTATTGTTTCCTAATATGACATGAAAGCTATGCAACAACTGTGCTATGGGAGGCGTTAGGTTTTAGAAGGAGATGCATGTATATACAGTATGAGAAAATGGACAAAAAATTGTCATTTATGTATCAGAATGAAACAAGTGGTATCATTTTATACCACTGTAAATACAGAGGATGACCAGTAAATCTTGCTGATGATATCATATATGAAATGTTTGGTATGAAATCCTGTTTGAACCCAGTGAAAGGAAAAAGTTACACCATTTATGTACCAAGATGAACAGTATTAGATTTTATTCAACTGTAAATATGAACGACTATCAGTAAATCTTGCTGTTGATAATGTATATGAAATGTCTGGTGTAAAGTCCTACTGAAATCTGGGTGAATAGATGCTTGAAATCTCTACTAGAAGACATATCACGTATTGCTCTTTAGCACAATCCCAAACTTTACAGTTTGGTTCTTTTTTTCTTTTCTGTCTTCCTTTTTTTTTAATTGATATTTTACACTTAGCACACACTTTTATTGTTTCATTAAGGTGACTACATTAAAAACTCCCTCAGCTATTTTTAGGAACACTATACATTATTGTGAACTCTATCCTACTGTGCCTTTGATGCCAGAGCTGATACCTCTTTGTAGCAAATATTGCCCCTTTTCCTCTTTACTCTCCCAAGACCTGTAATAGATATTAATTCCCATGTATGTATTGTGACATTGTTCATAATAACCAGCCCATAGAACCCACCTTCATCTATCAGTGAATAAATGGGGAAAACTGTGTTATATACAAATGAGAAGATGAGATGACATTTTTTTGTGACAGCATGCATAAACCTGAGTGACATGCTGAGTAAAATTAATCAGGCACAGAGGGCATAACACTGCTTGACAGTTAGATGGAATGGCTAGGCGTATGGACTATTAATTCAGAATTTGGGAGAGATTTTCAGTACAATTCTAAACTCAACAATCATAGGTAAGTGTAGACATTTCAAGTTTGAAGGTGTTTAGAAATCTGATATTTTTTTAAAGAAGTAATCTTGGGGATGGGTGTGACAAGAGGAATACAAAACCGATGAAAATTGACTTCTCACATGCAGACCAGTGTTGGTAGTGAGTACATGAGAATTTAACATATTTTTCTTTATTTTTGTATAGACTTGCAATTCCCAGTAATAAATGCCTTGTTTTCAAATGTTAAAAAATAGAAGAGAAGAAAAGAAAGGATGAAAAATGACTTACAGATGAACCGACCTTCAGAAGACCAGTGAAACAAATGGGTTTTTATTGGGAGAGGTTAAAGGACACCTTGAGTATCACCTTAGTAGAAAGAAAAAAAATAGAAATAATGATAATTGAGTTTCTAAAGATATTTTTTGTTGATGGAGGCCACTTCTTCGTTTCCTGGCTGTCCAGACTCTGAAATAATCATGCAGAAACTTTATTATTTAAATTACTGCTTGCACTACTAACTCTAGTTTCTTACTGGCTAGCTCTTACATCTTAAATTAACCCATTTCTATTAATCTGTATATCGCCACATGGCTGTGGTTTACTAGCAAGATTCTGTTGCATCTGTCTCCTGCAACAGAGGTCTACATGAGTCTTGGCAACTCTACCTTCTTTCTTCCAGGACTCAGTTTAATTTTCCCTCCTAGCTCTAGTCTGTAAAGCCTCTGGCCAAAACAGGTTTATTCATTAACCAATTAAAGCAACACATAGACAGAATTTTTATCTAATATGAACAACAAAATATGAATATTGAGAGTTTTGTAGGTAGTCAAAATCCAAAGGACGTTATATAATGCTTACAATCCTCTTATCCTAAGCATTGTCTTTCTTGTTAATTTAAGCATCAGTCCTCTTAAGACTTGGACATGTATTCTCATGTCAGACATATGCTCACGTCTCCATCACAGTGAAATAAAGATTTATAACTCCACTCAAATTCCCTGAGGCACATTGCAGATTCTTTCCAGACACTCCTTCCTGATATTTGTTTTTTCCAGACATTTGCTGTTCCCATGGATCCTACAGACTGGTAGGCGTCCACATGTGTTACTTGTGTGTCAAGAATAAACAGTTGACCTCAGAGTTATGTTCCAAGCACCACTGATCGACAAACAGTTCTTAAATTAGAACTTTGAAAGCAGCTTGAAATACATTAGCTTTTATTTTGCAGAAGGTTAAGAAAAGCCAACAGGAACACTGGTAGATTAGATTAGCTAAAGCAGAAACAATTTAGTGATGTTTGGAGAGACATAAATAAACCCCAGCTTTGTTATCAGATTCTCAAGATTGGCTGCAAGACAACTAGCTCAGAGCTCACTACTCTAGAGCTGTGGAGGATCTAAGCCTAAGGAACACTTGGGCACAGTAAGGTTCAGGCTCAAGCATATGCTCCAAGTTTTCCTTTAGAATGCCCCATCCACAGTGCTCAGTAATATTGATTTACATTGTCAAAGCTAGAGAGTATTTGGCTTGATTCCAGATGTGATTTTTAAAAAGTATTTTATATTTTTTCTAAGATTCTCGAGAGTTACTGTCAATATTTATATGTATATTTTATGTTTTAGTGGAAATATGGGTTTTTATTTCTCTTGGGGGAATATGTGGCTAGCAGGGCCAGGACTTATAGTAAGTGTATTCTCATTTATATAAACTGATGTTCTGTTTCCAGTTGTCTTTTCTCAATCCTGATCAAGCTGAACATATTTAATACATGATCTTAATTGGTCAGTATTGAAGTATTTGGTCCTTTTTTATTCTCTCTCTCTCTCTCTTTCTCTCTCTCTTAAAACAATAAGTTCTCACAACTCTCAGGATACAACTCCTTTTTGATCTATGTCCTGCAAATATTGTTTTTTGAATTCCCTTTGAAAGACTCAGAAAAGAGAGATTTTTAAAATTAGCCCAAAATTCAAGTGTTCCATTTTCTATAATGTGTATTGGGATATTGGTATTATAACTGAGACACTTTTATTCACCACTAGGTCACAGAAGATTTTTTTACTCTTTTCCTCAGATAGTTTTATAGTCCTTGGATTCATTCTTGGGTAGCATTTTATAGAAGGTAGGAGAAGTGAGTTTTAGTATGTGATACAGATTGCCTCAGAGGGTAGGCAGAAGCCAAAACATACTTAAATCTTTGTTTCTGCCCCTCTATGATTAGGTGGTGTCATTTCTGCAAATTTGACCTCTTGATTTTTCTAAGTTGCTCAGCTAGACTAATACTTTCGTATTTTCATACAATTTGGAGGTTATCTTGTGCTGGATGGTTAAACATAGATAAAAGTACTGGCTTCCTTTGCAGAGAACCCAGATTTAGTCTCCTGTACTTTCATGGCCAGCACAACTATTTGTAACTCCATTTCCAAGGAATTCAGTACCCTTTTCTGGTTTCCTTTTGGATCAGGCATACACATCATGCACAGACATAAAATGAGTCTTTCTTTGTCCCTCCACCTCCCAAATGATGACATAGAAACTTCTTATTAATCATGAAAGTTTGGCTTTAGTTTAGGCTTGTTTTGAACTTGATCTTAGATCTTGAACTTACCCATTTCTATTAACCTATCTTTTGCATTGTTAATTTTTTACCTTGCTTTCATTCTGTATGTTAAACACTTTCAGTGTCTCATTGGCATCTCGATTTTTCCTCCCCTTCCTTTCTCTCCAAGGAAATCTCCCCTTCTCGCCTACATAGTTATTGACCTTTCAGCTCTTTATTAAACCAATCAAAAAGGGCCTTGACAGAGACACATCTTCACAGTATACAAATATTCTGCAGCACAGACACATATGCAGGCAAATCAACCATAAGCATGAAATAAAAATCAAGTTAATAAGAATGACAGACCTTGCTTATTTCTTTGAAATGTTCTATATCCATAAATGTGTTGGAAAGAATTCCTTCAACTACTAGCCTGCTGAGAGCTTTTGTTATTTTGTGCTAATATTAATTTATTTCACGCAATATTGAAAACTTCTTAAAATGTTCCCATATTTCACACATTAATTATGTTAATGTGTTCTATTATATTTAAGTGTGTTTACTAATTTATTTACTCACTAGGTTCTAATGTGCTCTGTTATATTTATGGATGTCTTTACTAATTTATTTACCTACTAGGTGTTTGAAACTGATCTAGGTTGGCCTCAAACCTCCTTTGTAGCCAAGGCTGGTCTCGTACCCATGGCTCTCCAACTTCTGCATCTCTAACACTAGACCTGCAGAAGTGTACACACATACCTGTCTCTTTGACTGGAAGAGGAGTTATACAGACAGTCATTAGCTGTCCCATGTGGAAGGTGGGAGCCAAACTTGGGTCCTCTATAAGAGCAACAACTGTTTCTAATTTCTCAGCTTTCTATATCTCCAGCCTCTTGCTGATTCTTGCCACCTCCAACCCCCACAATGTTTCTCTCAGTCCTAACCAGTCTATTCTATATATATATATATATATATATATATATATATATATATATTTATATTTATTAAAGATTTCTGTCTCCTCCTTACCACTGCCTCCCATTTTCCTCCCCCTCCCCCAATCAACTCCCCCTCTCTCTTCACACCAGAGCAGTCAGGGGTCCCTGCCCTGTGGGAAGTCCAAGGACCTCCCACCTCCTTCCAGGTCTAGTAAGGTGAGCATCCAGACAGCCTAGGCTCCCACAAAGCCAGTACGTGCAGTAGGATCAAAACCCAGTGCCATTGTTCTTGACTTCTCAGCAGTCCTCATTGTCCGCTATGTTCAGCAATTTCGGTTTTATCCCATGCTTTTTCAGACCCAGTCCAGCTGGCCTTGGTGAGTTTCCAATAGAACATCCCCATTGTCTCAGTGTGTGGGTTGCACCCCTCGCCATCCTGAGTTCCTAACCAGTCTATTCTCAAGAAACTAACTCCACAGGTGTTCTTTTTGTTGTTATTTCTTTTTCATCCTGATCTCCACTCTTTCTGTTTCTAATCTGTTTATTAGCTCTTAGTTCAATAACTGGAAGACTACATGGCAACACTTCTGCTTCCCTTTATTCTACTTCTCCGTGAGTCATAGACATCATTTCCAGACCAGGACTTTCAGTAAGTGTTTGCAGAGGAGGAGTACAAGCAAAATCTACTAATGAGTCTGAGTAAATACAGCTTTTTCCATGAAAGATTCTTGAGATTGATATTCTTATATTTTTCAGATAAAAAGCTCCAAGGAAAATGTCTCAGAATAGTCTCCCATGTGTCTCCTGCTAGGCTTCACTGCTGCTATGCAGTGATCATCGTCCTCACTGCAGCTGTGATTGCACTTTCTGTGGCTCTGTCATTGCCAGGTGAGTAACATTCTCCAGATCCTACAGCTTTCTGTCCACATCCACACTTAGCACTGTGAGCCAGGCAATGTGTGAAGGGCAGGAGAGAAAACACACTGGAAATTCCTGTTCTCTGGGAACTTATGATCTAGCAGAAATGTGCAATGAATGATCAGCACAGGCTGTGGTGTATGCAGGAGGCCAGGCTCAGCATCCCTGGGAAAATGGCATTAAGCAACCCCTCGACAGATGCAGGAGGCATATGTCTACCATGGGGAACTATTCAAAATAGAAAACAAGGGGAGCAATACCCAAATAAGGAAGCTCAAGGAACTGTGAGGACAGAGAAGAGAACTATGTCCAGGATGATGTCCTTCCCCTACTACCAATGGTGTTAATTACCATGTTCAACTATATTTTAAAAGTATTCAATGAAAGGTCTTTGAAGTGATCAATTTATAGAGTTTTAGAATTACACTGTTCAGAATAGTGTAATAAAAGATTTGTACTGTTGCCATATGGCAGGTGGTACTCTTTCTCTCTTGGCTGGTTGGCCACCAAGTTGAAAGGAAAAAAATAAAGAAGGGGCGACAGAAAGTTTTTTATACAGTCCATGAGCACAGATGAAGAGAGGCTTCTGGGAGACAGACTTAAGTGGATCATCTCAACTTTATTCCAAAGTATAAAGATTAAGGATTTTACATAGGATTAAGGAGTCTGGGGACATACTGTCGTGTGGTCCTATCACAAGACTTGGTTTGTGGCAGTAGGGTCCTTTAAATAGACTTTCTAGCATAAGTCTTCTTAGCAGGGCTCTGTATCAAGGGCAAGCTAAGGATGAACCAAGCATCTGGTATTAAAACAGGTATCTGGTTCAGAGGCAGATTTCAGATAATGTCAGTGCTCCAGGCCCAGGGACATCCTCCAAATGAGACTAGACAGAGAGCAGGAACTTTGTTGGGGAAGGAGGAAGTTCCTTATTGTCAAGCTAGAGAGAAAGCTGCTAGTCTATGGCAGACTGTGACCTCTAATGTGTCTGAGCAATCCCTTAGTGCAACAGGTCCACACTGTGTACACTGCCTTCCCAATAGTCCTCCTTGTTATCTAAGTTATCAGGCTGACTGTCAAAGTAGGTGGCCATACAGGGTGCTTGTTGCTCTAGCAGCCCAATTGTAGTGAACAATCATAAAGCAAAAAAAGTGATGATATTATAGGAACTCACTTCCTGGGCCCGTATTATGAGTGAGCACCTGAGGGAGATTGGGGTACAGGCCTGAGATGGGATGCCTTTAGCTAAATGTCCATCATCTTAAGGAGAAGACTCCTACAGATAAGTTAGGAAAACTATAGTCAAAATCACACCTCACATCTGAGCTCAGTAGGCTATGTCAATTCTTGTTATAACTCATTTTATTGTCTAAATTTTAGGAGAAAAGCTAGAACAGGACTCAGTCAAAAATACATATGCTGTTTGCCCAAGAAACTGGATTGGATTTGGGAGTAAATGTTTTTATTTTTCTGAAGACACAAGCAACTGGACATTCAGTTGGAATTTCTGCATGAAACTAAAGGCACAGTTAGCTAAATTTGACAACATGGAGGAACTGGTAAGAAAGGATTGGAATTGATTAGCTTGTTCTATTTAATATGTATTGCCTTGAGATAGACTATTAAAAGATGAAGCATGAGGAAGGATCACCCCTTGCAGATGGAGACATGGGGAACACATGATTGTGTGCCATTTACTGATGGTAATATTTCTGATTGGAGTCCTCAGACATTCATGAGACATTATCTCATGTGGTGCTCATAGTCAACCTGGAAGGTCAGATATGCCACTTTACTGAGATACCTGCTGGTGATGAGCATTTTTCTCCAAGCTAACAAAGGCTGCATCCTGAAGGTGACAACTGTTAATAACTGCAAGGGCAGGCTTAACCGGGAACTCACCCAGCCATGAAGAATATGTAGTTACAATTGGTACTTTAATTCAAATGAGGTACTTAAGAATTATGACTGTCAACTGGATCCACTGAGAACTCAGGGCTATTATGGCTCCAAAGTCTGTGTTCCTCACTTATACCCTCCTGCTACCTAAAGAGAAAGCTGTGGGTTGGGGGACACTCAAGGGTCATCTGAAACAGAGAGACACATAGTTTGCTTTCCATGTCTTATGACAGAATTTCCTGAAGAGATACAAAGGGACCTTTGACTACTGGATCGGCCTGCACAGAGAGTCATCACAGCACCCTTGGAGGTGGATGGACAACACAGAATATAACAGCTCGTATGTTTTCAAACCACTTTCCTACTACTGTGATCATTTTTTATGAAGTGTGTGAGTTGTCTATTAGAGAGGAAAGGCTGTGTCATGTGAAGCCAGCTATACTGCCTTGGAGGTATTTTGGCCATCATTTCCAAAACCTTTACTTAGTGTGATTTTCCTCAAAATCTTTAGCATGATGATGGCATCTGGGGTAGCTATTGTCTTCTCCGTCACTAATTTAAATTTCTTTGTTGTTGATAAATGTTCTGTGTGTAATGTAGAAATAATCTTAGATGGGCAATGAGAGTCCTGAGACCTCAGGAAGCCACTGCAGAAGGACCAGCCCGAGACCCATTAGTCCACTGTATGTATGGCTGCACCTGTTCAGAGAAGCAGAAGTTTCACATCCTTGAAAAACCTCCTTTAAAATCTAAGTAGAGAGCACCCAAGACAGTTCTTGAATGTGAGCATAGATGCTTTGAATGGAGCCATTATAAACTCAGTCTTGCCCATTATTAAAGTCCATTCAAAAATTTACTAAGAAGTGTTTTTTTCCATATGTGAAATGATTCAAAACAGAATTGAAAATCATCCTCAGAGAGGCCACCTATGGCTGTAGTTCATTTGAAGTGGGTAGCAAGCACTAGTTAAATTCTTTGTCCACAAATTGAAGGGTTGGTTCAACTTGGATGAATGTCAAAGGTACTGTGTTCAAATCAAATCCTGAGAATGAAAAGACAGTAGGTACAAAACTAGTGCAGATGAGTTTCCTGGACTCTGCCTTTGATCATATTACAAATAAGCAGTAGAGACAGAGAAGATTTCACTAAAGAGCGAATGTAGTTCTGGCCTCTGCAGATTTACTGTTTTGGGTTTATTTTCAGAGTTCCCATCCGAGGAGCAGAAGAATATGCCTACCTGAACAACAACGGGATCAGCAGTGCCAGGATCTATGCAGACAGGAGATGGATTTGTAGCAAGCCCAACAGCTATATCCTGGAATGCCAAATTCCTTTTGCTTCTTTCTAGTCTTTGTCAAGAGATGCTTTGCAACCTAATATCTACAGTTGCTGCTCTATCCCCTGTTTGCCAATATTGTTATAAAAAAATTGACTGCCAACTGGGTCACATGAGCATCCAGGCATCATGCAGCCTCCCTGATGACAACAGGTCCAAGAGTGCTCCTGAGACAGCAAGTATTTGGCAAGAGGTGGTATGTGTCCTACAGGTTCAAACATTCAGCCAAGATTTAAAGCTTCACATAAACATAGACAAGCATGTCCATCTAAAAAAAAAAAGGAATTGAGAATATTTCTTTACATCCAAATGAGAAACATATTGAAGAACTGCACAACCAAGGGTTTAGAATATAGATTAGATTGAAATACTTGTTGGCACTCATACCTTAAGCCAAAAGTGCAATTAATGTTAGTGAACTACTTTTATGAAATGAAGTTTTTGTTCAGATAGTCCTCCTTTTAAATTTATTGCTATTGCCCTTGGACTTTAATAATTAAAAAACAGTTGGACAGTGATGATACATACCTTTAACCCCAGCACTCAGAAGGCAGAGGCAGTTGGATCTCTGTGAGTTTGAGTCCAGCCTGGTCTACAGAGCTGTTCTAAGAGAGATAGGGCTGTTACCCAGAGAAATTCTGTATCAAAATACAAAACAAAAAAAAAATAAAAAAAAAGAAGAAGGAAAGAAAAGCAGCAGGGAATAGTGTCAAAAGTCTTTAATTCCAGCACTCAGGAGCCATAAGCAGGTGAATTTCTGTGAGTTCGAAGCCAGCTTGGTCTACAAATTAAGTTCTAGGACAGCCAAAACTACACTTAGGCAGCCTGTTTCAGGGGAAAAAAAGAAAAAGAAGAAATGAAAAGCAGAAGGGCTGGTGTTTTTAGAAAATTACTTGTGTTTCCAGAAAAGTAAAAACATGTACTCCCAAATCCAATCCAGTTACTTAGGCAAGCAGAATGGGTATTTTTGATTGGGACCTATAATTAATTACACTTGTAACTCCAGGTACTTAAGGGTTGAAACAGGAGTGTCACACATGGGATCTGAAAGTATGAGAATACTAATGATAAGGAAGATGAGAATCCATTTGACCATCCTGTAATTTGGGGACACACACTAAATATTCTTTTCAAAAGTCGTTCCAACATGCCAAAGAATTTAAAAAGTATTTAACACTAAGATTTACTTCATACTTTCCAATTTAAAACATTAAGGACATTGTCAAATTGTTCCTCTATTTTAGTATTCAATGTTTCTGTTTCCAGTTATTCTAAGTACGTCTTAAAAACAAATGTCATTTTGTTTAATGGTTTGCTTGGATTTATGTCACATCAAAGGGGAGTTACACTCCTCCGGCATTCAAGACTTAATCACTCAGTAGTGTGTGTACTATTGGCTCCTAAAACCAAGGTATTTAAAATCTTTGTAGAGCAGCTACACTGTACTGATGAGTCCCAAAAAGGACGAAATAGCAGGTTGCGAAGCATCTCTTGAACTCTTCATCTCTTCCTTTCCTCCGTGTTCTATTCAAAAAATACTTTTATATCTACTTCTTTTTGTATCTATTACTTGTGCTTAAGGATACACACACACACACACACACACACACACACATATATATATATATATATACATACATACGTGTGTGTGTGTGTGTGTGTGTGTGTGTGTGTGTGTGTGTGTGTGTACTGTCTGGACTGACACAGCTCAGAAGGAATGAGCTCTCCAGAACTGAACTGATAAATGTGCACCACCTGAGCTGGCAGAGATCAGAAGGCATCATCACCCTGAAACTGGACATGTAAACTCATGTTGGTTTTGGGAATGGATCAATGGGGACAGCACAGACAATGATGGGTAGTGGCATTCTCTGGACTGGTGGAACTGGGTTCTATAAAAAAAGCAGTCTAAGCAATCCAGGGGGGGAGAGCAAAAGAGTAAGAAGCATTCCTCTGTGCCTTTGCATCAGGTCCGGCCTTCAGAATCTTGCCCTGTTTCATTTCCTATCCTGACTTTCTTCAATGATGAACTATAATGAGGAAGTAAAAGCCAAATAAATCCTTTCCTCCCCAATTTGCTTTTTGTCATTGTGTTTTGTTGCAGCAATAGAAGCACTATCAAAAGTCCTTTGGGTACATGTCCAGAGTGGCAGAGCTGGACCATGTAGTAGCTCTATTTCTAGCTTATCGAGGAAACTCCACATGGATTTTCATTGTAACTACACCAGATTTCAATTCCCCATCAGTGTCATTTATTGTCTTTTGAGATTGGCCATTTTACCTAGGATGAGAAACTTCAAAGTAGTTTTAATTTACATTTCCCGGATTACTAAGTATGTAAAATATATTTTAGAAATGTTCCTCAGCTATTTGTATTTTATCTTTAAAGTACCTAGATAAAGGTTGTTTCTTCTTTGGTATTTAATTTTTTGAATTCTTATAATCTAGATAGTAAACCTCTGTCAAATATGTGGTCAATGAAGATATTTTTTTCATTCTGTAGCTTGTCTCTCTTCCTGAGTAATAGTATCCTTTGCTGTGCAAAACCTTTAAGTCTCATGAGGTCTCATTCAAAAATTGTTGATCTTAATGCCTACACTACTGTGACCCTACTCAGAAAGTCACTTTCGTGTTAAAGAATGCACATGTATCACCCACCATTTTTTCCCATCTGCTTCAGAGTATCAGATCTTATGCTGAGGTCCTTGATGCATTTGGAGTGAGAGAGAATCAAGTTTCATTTTTCTACATGCAGTTATCCAGTCTGACTAGCAACATTTATTGAAGATACTATATTTTCTCCAATGTGTATTGCTAGCCTTTCTTTCAAAAATCAAATGACTGTAGAAATGTGGGTTTATATGCAGCTGCTATCCTATTCTATCGATCAATGAACAGTTTGGTTTTATGCTAGTAACATGCTGTTTAGGCTGCTTTTAACACTACAACTTGGTAACATAACAAGATCTGAGATGGTAAAATCTCTAGCAAATTTTTGTTTTTTAGGATTTTTTAGGTTATCCTGGATATTTTGCATTTACATATGAAATTTAATATTATTTTTCTAATTTTTATGAAGAATCATAGTGGAAATTTGGTGGGGATTGTATTGAATCTGTATATTATTTTTAGTAAAATATCATTTTCACAATGTTAATTCTACCAAAGCACAAGCAAGAGAGCTTTTCCAATCTTGTATCTTCAATTTCTTTCTATTTTTTTTTCTCTGTTTTGTTTTGTTTTGAGACAGAGTTTATTTATAGCTTTGGAGACTATTCTGGAACTAGTTTTTTTTTTGTTTGTTTGTTTGTTTGTTTTTTGTTTTTTCAAGACAGGGTTTCTCTGTGGTTTTGGACCTGTCCTGGAACTAGCTCTGTAGACCAGGCTGGTCTCGAACTCACAGAGATCCGCCTGCCTCTGCCTCCCGAGTGCTGGGATTAAAGGCGTGTGCCACCACCGCCCGGCTGGAACTAGTTTTTATAGATCATGTTGGCTTCAAACTCACAGAGATCTGCCTGCCTCTGCCTCCCAAGTGCTGGGATTAAAGGTTTGCACTACCACGGCCCAGATTCTTCTATATCTTAATGTTTTCACTGTATCTCCCTTTCTTGGTTATATTTATTCAGAAATATTTTATTTTGAGGCTATTATGAAAGATATTTTCTTCATAATTCTTTTAGTTTGATTTTTATCTGCATATAAAAAGGCTACCAATTTTTGTATGATAGTTTTGTATCAATGTATTGATCTAATACTAAATATAGTGATCAAATCTAGAGAATTCCTGGTAGAATATTTTAGCCTTTTGCACAGTATCATATCATCTGCAAATAAAGGCACTTTTATTACTTCCTTTCCCATTTGTATCTCCTTCAATTGTCTTGTTGCTCAAGCTAAGATTTCAAGTACTGTGGAATACATATGAAGAAAGTGGACGTTCATGTCTTGTTCCTGACTTTGACGGAAATGTTTTCGAGCTTTTCTCCATTTAGGATAATGTTGGTTGAGGACTTTCTATTTATTACCTTTATTATGTTGAGACATTTTTCTTGTACCCATCGTGTCTCCAGGACCTATATTATGAAAAAACTTTGGATTTTGTTCTAGGTCATTTCTGCATTTAATGAGATGATTATATGGTTTCTATCTTTTAAGCTAATTACATTTATAAATTTTTCTAAAGCCTTCAGATGAATCAATGAATTATTAATTTGAGATTTCTCAAATTTTTTTATATATAGGCATATAGTGAGTTAAGTTTTATTCTTGAAATTGCCTTATATTTTTTCATTTTATTCACTTTTGGGAATCCTTAAACGCTTAATTTTTATTCTTGATTTTTTCTTTCCATGAATTTGATTCAGTAGTGTGTTGTTTAGATTCCATGAATTCATGTTCTTCTTTTGTTGATGTGAAATTTTAATACATAGTTGCCAGATTAAATGCAAAATGAAATTTCGATTTTCCTATATTTGCTGAGACTTGCTTTGGTTCTTTAGGTTATAAGTACTAGTCTAGACCCTTCTGTTTTTTATAGTCACCATTAAAAATTCTGCTGTTATTATGATGAGTCTGCCTTTGTATATGACATGATTTTTCTGGTTGTTTTTAATATCATTTTGTTGCTGCTGCTGTTGTTGTTCTGAGCATTTAGCATTTTGATATGATGAAAGGTATAAATGGAGGCTTTTCTGTTCTGTCTGCTCCTGCAGTCACTTTTAAATTAACCACTCAGGGACCGATATTAATTACAAATTGGTGTATTGCTTAGACATATTACTAACTAGCTCTTACAACTTAAATTAACCCATTTCTATTAATCAATATTTTTCCACCTGACTTCCAGGCATTGCCTGCTGTCTAGTATATCTTGTTGTTCCAATAGCTTGCTGGCATCTGCCCCTGAAATCTGCCCTTCTCCTTGTATCTCTGCTTGGATGTCCAGACTAACACTATCCTGCCTTTCTGTAGACCAAAGTATCTTCTTTATTAACAAATGGTAATAAAACATATTTACAATTTACAAATGGGTTATCTCATAGTAGAGGTCAGTTTTTTTTCTAGTCATATCTGCTTGATGTTCTATATTTCTGTCAGATCTTCATATGCACCTCTTACTTCAGGCCAAGAAAGTTTTTTTTTTCCCTATGATTTTGTTGCAAAAATCTTTTGTACCTTTGGCCTGTGCCTCTCCTTCTGTACCTAGTTTTTTATATGTTTGGTCTTTGTCATATGTCTGGGTTCCTACTTGTTTGGCTTTTGGGATTATTTGGATTAGATATTTTCTTTCACTAAATGATCTGACTCTTCTACCTTGCCTTCAGGACCTGACATTTTCTCTTGCACATGAT